CGTACAATAATGATTTAAACTTGCAGGGCGCCACACAATATTCCCTCACTCTCGACGAGAGAGAACGACACTGCGGGAGACGCGAGGAACTGCAGACGAGCGGGAAAGGTGTTGAGCTGCTACGAAATACCCCCAAGCTCTGAGATCCTCTATATGTGGTGTTATCAGCCGATTAACTATTTGTAACTATATTTTTTTTATTTCACCACGTAAGGCCCACTGAGCTATACAGCTCTTTTTTATATATATATAAGCGACCTGGCCATCACAAATGATAGCTCAACGAAGTGGCTTATCATCTGGAATTTTGCGGCAGCCAAATACTCTAAACGCACGTTGATTCCGAATCTGGAGGGAAAAACCGAAGGATCCCAGAGATAAATCCATGCGGCCACGGGGAGAGAGACGCGCAAAATCTAAATATCAGGGTCAGGATGGAACCCACGACCTTCTGTATACCAGGCGAGTAGTTAACATCTCAGAAACCAGACCACACAGAGAAAACCCACGTGTGTGAGCAGGTGAGAGATTACATTCCAACTCCACTCAGACAGGTCAGAAACCAACTTGCTGTGCCACCTTCTATCTTGTGGTCACGATTTCAGTGGAATACGTAATCTCCAAGTTTTGCTAGATTTACAGGCGTGTACCACCACACCCACTTGTGATTACTCTCACTTGCAGTTTTGTCGCGGATTACTGTCTTATGCGACTCGAGCATCGTTTGGTTTTTCATATATGTGATTGCAAATTAGTGGAATGTGTTTTTGGGAAAATCGTAATCTATTAATATTGTGTTACCTTGTTCGAGTCAGTGCGTATGTGTGCTAAGGTAAGCACATTTCAATGCAATCGATTACATTGAAAACCTACACAGTGCAAGTAGACTATGTACTGAATTCATGGGTGCAAACATTTCAGTCACCATAGTAACATTTAACGAGGGTATAGGAAAAGGGTTGTTTGAGCAAGATTTTACACAATTGCACGCAAGATGTACACAATATTGTACACAATTGTCTGTCATAATATTTTGCACTTTTTAATGGCATTTATTTTACGGCTGAGTTTTTTTTAAATTGAAACTGGACCTAATTTACCTTTGCTGAAGTTGAATGTAACATACATACATATATACTTAATTTAATTATTATTATTATTATTTTATGTACCCAGATATGCCCGGAATACTGTTTTCACAAAGCATTGTTCTAATTTGTTATTCTAGTGTATTACAAAGATAAAGGTGCGGCCCTGCAATTTCCTGATAAACCCAATGCTGGAAGAAGGGCCTCGGCTAAATATAGGTCTATAGCCGACTGGACATCTGTGAAGAAGAGCTTTATAGCTCATCGGAAATCCTCCAATATAAATAAGCATTCTGATTCTGAGAGCCCCTATTGAAAATGTATTTTGGCTTACCCTTCCACGCTACAGCCACTCATTGACAGACTTTAGCTCACCACACGTGACACACAAACTGCAGTGTATTTATTTATACCGCTGGATGGATCGAGGTGGGGGGAATTTAATAAATGTGCCCAGTGCTTCAACTGCCACGCCAGAAGAGTTGAACCAGAGCACTATGGATGTAAAGTCCACCGTGTTCACGTTTACACCACGACAGCAGCACACACACACATATATATATAATTAGGGTGGGAGGAAATGTTCAAATATCATCAAAGTAGCACAAACTAAAAAAAAAACAAATTCCTAAACCAAATCGAATGCGTATCAATCTTTTATGACGCGTCTCAAGAGACTTTACTTTCATCCAAGTCCACGTACATTGATTTTCTTATTTCACAAGACATGGGGAAGGGTGGGAGAGACGCATCCAATGGGGGTTTTGTACTTTTGACAAGCGCACTCCTCTTTGGGTATCACGTGCTGTATTTTATATTTCATATGTCAGCATTTGACCTAAGGGCAGCTCAGGAAAACAAAAAAATACATTGTCATCACGTGTTTTAAAAGAGATACGTGGCAAATGCCCGAGATTTTCCACAAAGCTTGGCGCTGCGAGTAGAGTTGCAGTGCGCGGGTCGCTGTTGGTCATCACCACCTTCCGTTACTATGGATAGATGCTCCGATACAACTGGCGTTGATTTTCGCGGTTGTCTCTTTTGGGTTGTAGAGCACACGTGGTCCGCCATCATCTCCAACATTTTACTGCCCGTGGTGGGGAGCTTCTTCGATACAACAGTTGAAATGTGCATTCTAAATGTGTATCTTGGTATTTTTTTTCCTATTGGTGCTGCGAGCTGTTTAAGGAGTTTGTGAATACAAAAAATCGGCGTAATTACATTCGCCCATATCGTCAAACCAGTGTAAACTGTTAATTGGCAGTGACATATGTCACATCGCAAGCTTTTAATCCCTAAAATGTCAAGTGGTGAATGAAGGACGTGGCAGTGGGGATATCCTGCAGCTGAACTAATGATGGGCAAGGCAGGATACACACGTACATCCTAGCAACTGGGAACAGGCTTCACAAGCTTAAGTGTCACACTCATCCAAAAAGTATCTGAAAACATTGAGCACAGTTAATGGAAATATAACGTCGTAATATTCGGATGGAGCACCGTTCAACATTATCCAAATATCAGCCTAAGTAGGCCTAGGTTTGAAGAGTATCAAAGACAAGTGGTCAGAAATGTTGCCCTCTCCAAATTGGTAGGACCGGTATCTGGAATTACGTTTTATTTTTCATCGAGTTAAATGTGATTTGATATTTTGAGTCAGCAACCTCCGAGATTTCCATGGAATAGTTGGCATTTACATTTTTTGTTTTGATTTCTTAGAAGCATATGCTGGACTTTCCACGTGCCGAATGTCAACTCTAATTTACGTCACTCATTCAACCACTCACGACCACCTATGTTAGATACTCTGTATTCTCACACACATGAATATAAACTGTTATCATTCTGTCGTCATTACCCATGTCCCATTTGTCGCCGAGCATTGGTTTTGCCAGGATGAACAGTTCCCTGTCTAACACTTAAGGCATTTGACGGTGAAAGTATCCAGGAAGGGGCATAGTCTTGTCATGCAATCATTGCTGGAGACTCTTAAATTCAGTCTACAACACCAACCCACCACAATGGTCTACTTACGTCCACACAAATTAGCACCGAGGCCATTACCCGTCGAGTTCAGATTGTCAACGAAGGACTGAGATCAGATTCTGACTCACAAATGCTGCAACCAGAGACCATTTAGAAAAAAAGCAACGACATCTGAAACAATTGGAGTTATGTTTTTGAAAAAAGTGAAATGTTCCAATTTGTGCAGGAGGTGTTTCTCGGTATAAAAAGATAAAGATGCTACCCTGCACTGTCTTGCTCAAACAACTGCTGGCAGAAGGGCCTCCCACGAGATGGAGAATCTTAGAGAGCCCCTCTAGAGGGTGTTTCAGCTTCATCTTCCATGCTAGCCAGGTGTCTTGGAATCCATCCGTGAAGCTCTGTAAACCTTCCCATCATCACCCCGCGAAAATTGGCCATCTCCGCAAATTCCTTTGTCCTCTTGACCGAAACTTTCATTCGTCACCTCCCTCCACCCCACTGCGGATACCCGAGATCCGTACTACACAGGCTGCAGTTGATCCAGAATGTTACCTGGGCTTCTGGCTTATGCTCACAAGTGGCACGAACTGCATTGTCGTCGTCCTGAGAAGTTGAATCCCACTGGCTTCTCTCTCTAGTCACCATGTGCATCAGCGACAAAATCTCCCTCGTTGTCTTTGAAGGTCCACGCGTGGCCTCGTAACCCGAGCCTCTCCGAACTTAGTTCCCTGCAGCACTCCCTCCTCAGCTCCGTCTGCTCCGAACACACAGCCCTTTCTCTCTCTCTCCACCTCCCATCAATCTGTACACAACTTTGGTGGTCGCCGTTCCGCCGTGTTCACCTCGTGCTCACTGCTCCACCCTCAGGATTATAATGTAAATATACAGTAGTTTTCATTTTGTACACAGTGGTTAACTGTAATCCTCCCCCCGCGATTTATTACGTAAACATCCTACCTGATCGTGTTTATTATGTTTGGTTTTCACATCAGAGTGCATGTGTGTTACGTTTGCACACCTATGTATTGTTACTTTATTTAGTATGGCTGATGTGTTTCATTGACTAACTGCAGATATTTTAAAATAAGTTAACACTGTGTGCTATGCACTTCTTCCATCCGGGTTGGTGGCTTAGTCGCTTGCCACATTGCTTCATATTAAACTAAAAATTCTCCAACCTTTATCTTGCTGGGTTCACAAACTTCCAGCAGCAGCAGCAGTTCTCCACCGCTGGCGATCACCTTCATCACCATATCCCATCTGCCGCTGATGTCTCTATCATTCCTCTTTGCTCTCGTGCTGTCTCCTCTGCCACTCGATCAGTTCATCTCAGCTGTCCTCTGCCTCTGTTGCCTTCCACTAACCATCGCCCGTTGCTTTGGGTGGATTCCCATTTGGATCCATTATTCTGACAGAACCATGCCATAGCAGGCTGCGTTCCTCAAAATATTGTTCATTCTATCTTCAAGTCATCATCAGCAGCAGCACTATTGGTTAATCCACTGCTGGATGAAGGCCTCCCCAAGCCACTACCGTGTCCCATCATCCTGCGATTCAATAAGCAGTCTAGCACTGCTGTGCCCTGTCAAACATATTCCGTTCCTCGGCTGTCACTCCATTCATAACGTTGACCATCATCCATCATCCCTTCTCGTGGCGTGTCCTGCCCAAGCCCACATAATCTTGCGAACAGTTTGAACGATGCCATTAACCTTACGTGCGTTCTGGCATGCGCGTGCTCCACTTCCTGTATCTCTCTCTGCGGTACCTCCAGGCGTGCTTCTCCTCCTTATTCCTCGCCGCGTGCTTTCCACGCGAACGTAAATCGACTTAACGCCTTGCAGAGAAGTTATCGAGGAGGGGGGGGGGAGGGGGGTGGTTAGTGACGACGCTCGAGCTGCCGACCATGTCCCCCGTGCCCTGCAGGTGATCAAGGCGATCGAGGAGGGCTACCGGCTGCCGGCGCCCATGGACTGCCCCCTGCCGCTCCACCAGCTCATGCTCGACTGCTGGCAGAAGGAGCGCTCCGACCGGCCCAAGTTCGGCCAGATCGTCAACGCGCTCGACAGGCTCATCCGCAGCCCCGGACTGCTCAACACGCTCGCCAACGGCACCTTAAGGTTCAAGTCCGACACTTTCTGTGAATGATACAAATAAACCACATCCCCCCCCCACCCACCTACCCCCCATCGCAGCAAAATAATTGTAAAAAAAAATGTTACTTTTGAACTATTTTTATTTTACCAGGCAAGGCCCACTGAGCTAAATATATATATACTTATTTTACGAGCGACCTGGCCACAAATGATAGCTCAACCAAGTGGCTTATTGTCCCCAAATTTATAGCAGCCGAATAAGCTCAACGCATGTTCATTCTAAATGTGTGGGGGGGGGGGGGGGGAGGGGGGGAACCGGAGGACCCACGCAACCACGGGGAGAGAACATGCAAATGCCAAATGTACAGCAGGTTTCAGGGTCGGGATCGAACCCACGACCTCCTGTACACCAGGCGAGGTAGTTAACATATCGCCATCTTGGTGCCAATTGCATGCGGTGCGTGTGTGTCATGTGGCCCACCGCAATGCTCTCGGACTTGCCTCTGCCAGGCTCAAGAAACTGAAAACGTGACCTCATTATCAAGGTGTAGCTGAACTATTACGGCTGTGGAATGTCCCTGCGTCTGAGAACAGCCAGCCAACATAATTACATGCCTTAATGTCTTGCTCCAACTGGCCAGGGAGTAATTAAGAAAAGCCCATTATTACTTTAACATTTCAAGGGTATATTTATTGCACACAAATGCAGGTGTTCAGTGTTAGTTTTTTGCGATATTGTCCCAGCTAGAGACAAAGTGGAATGCATGTACTGTGTCCATTGTGATATTGTATTGGACGTTTCTAAAAGCCATTTCAAAAGAAAAAAATGTGTCAGTTTAATATCTTGTAAAAAACGTGACCTAATTTTACACGTGTGAAGTGTGATATAATTTACAGCAGTTAGTTAAGATGAAAGGTAATCATTATACATACGTGCGACTTTAAAACAATAGCAAATTGTGCTCAGAATTTACTGATACCATACTTTCGAAAATTAAGCTTTTATTTGTGGAAAAAATGAAACCTAACAGTTAATATCTGTCTAACTAACCAAGCTTGCAAATCAATCAATTTATCAAAACAATTTAGCTTAAAGGGTGCCTTCCTTAAACCGAAGTTCCAGTGCAAGAAAATATTATTCTCCAAAAAAACTTCTAAACCATGCAATTATAATAATAATCAGGTTAATATCAAGCCAGACACTATTGTGACTCTAGTTTAATCTCCGTCTGTAAAGGCTTGGCTGAGCAGGTAACGTTTTAAGCTCCAGTTTAAAGCTTTGGACGGTCAGGCAGTCCCTGACTGCGGTGCATCGCCACCGGTGTGCTGTGGAATGTCAGACTAGGTGTGTCGCCGCAATTTTTTGCGGAATTATATGACAGCAAAGAACCACGCTGTTCACAATCTCTGACAGATGACGAACTTTCCTCCATGCAGTTCAGCGGCCCATCCAACAGCCAAACACTCCCAGCCCTCTCAGGTCCCAAGATCGCACGTTCCTACCGACCCACCCAGCCCTCTCAGCTTCCTACCCACCCACCCGGCCCTCTCAGCACCCTCGGTCGCACGTTCCTATCGACCCACCCAGCCCTCTCAGCTTCCTACCCACCCACCGGGCCCTCTCAGCTTCCTACCCACCAACCCGGCCCCTCTCAGCTTCCTAGATTGCACATTCGTCCCCACGAACTGGGACCCAAACTGATTGTTTTGGTTCAGTGTGCTGTTAAATGAAAACAGTTGATATGCACTGCCTTACTTGACGAGGTGGGGAATTCCAAAGGTTCTGGGCCTCATAAGTAGAAGAATGGGCCCAAGATGTTTGTAATCGCACCCTGAGAATGTCTAACAATCCCTCGTCAGTGGATCAAATGGGTCAGGATCATCTAACTATTAAAACTCCTAAAAATAAATGGTAAATTGTGAGGATCAATATTCATTATTCAACTTAAAAGAGTTCTATGATCACATTTTAAATCTCATTTGTACATATTTTGTCCACTCAATTAGCCAACATGTCATTAGCATATTATTTGCTAATTATTTCCATGATACGATGATTCTTATACGCGTGATTCAGTGCAAGTACGGTGAAATAAGGATAGATTTTAAATCGGGGATTGATGGATTTACGTAACGTCTGAATGCTTAATTCAAACTATCACTCTCAATATTTTAAAAGTATAAAGACCATAATTATCCCACGTGTTATAAATGGAATTCCCAGACCGTCTCCATTCCAATTTCGAAAACACATTTAAATCGAGTATTGATCAGCTTGTAAAATGTACGATCAATTTCTGCACAACAACTGTGTCCATCAGACCTCTGTGTTGCCTCCTCCATTAGTCACAGGCTAAAATGCCCCAGACTCAAACAAAACAATGGGCAGCCACTCATCTCCACTGACTGTAGTCGGTCAGCGACGTTCATTCCACATTGATATGGCAGGGGTCAGTTTTATTTTTACAAAGGACAAATGCTATTGGCTTTCCACAAGCGGACTCACGTTATCAACTTCTGGAGGAGTAATTACACCAGCCGACCCCTGACCAGCATTTGAACTTTTAGCACCACATTCGATCGATAATTAAAAGCCAATAATCATGGCTTGTGCAGCTGTGCAGGCTGCTAGATCAATGCGTTCATTGGCACTTACGATTGTAGATGCTTTTGAGAATGATAATGGAAAGCAACCATTGTGCTCATTAGGTTTTGATTAAGGACGGAGGTAAAGGTGCAGCCCTACAATTACCAGCTCACATCTCTGCTGGCCAATGGGCCTCTACCACTTAAGGGTATTTTGGACTACAATTTCATGATTTTTTTTATCATGAAACAAATATTATACTTTTTACATATTTTTTTCTCTCATCAAAGTATATATATTGTACTTAGTTTTTTCAGCCTGTTAGCTTCTAAAGCATTTACGTTTTAACATTTTTACGTATAATTATACAAAAAAAATTGCCACTGGAATTCTCGGACTGTCTCATTGAGCTCTCACCTGGTGTAAACCAAAAACAACCGGAGCAGAACCAGCAAAACAGCACAATCGGCTTCCAATCCCAGATACAGGGTAAAGGTGCAGGGCTGCAATTACTCGCTCATGCCACCTGCTGGTGGAAGGTTTTCACGAGAGTGAGCTTAAGAGAGCCTCTCTCGAGCGTAATTTGGCCTACCTCTTCCATGGCTTCTTACAAGAGGTACGAGTGCCCTCTCTTTACTCCACTGCGCACAACCTATCGGCGAACTTGTAGCGTTCTCATTAATCTTTCACGGTGGACAGAGACGGGAGCAGTGGGGGGGGGAGGGGGTTCATTTTCAAATGCCGCTCTAGGAGATCGCATTGAACCGATGACCTCTGGATTTCAAGTCCACCGTTGCTAATCATTACACCACGACAGCATCAAGTCAATCCAAGGCCTCGGGTTTAATTATCAGAAGGAGATGGAAACCTTGAGTAGATCTCTTTACCCAGCATTGTACGTAACCACTGCAAGTGGCAATCTATCCACGGGCTCTCAGTCACGATGTTGCGGGGCTGTTCTGCACATAGCACAATAAAAATAAGGGTATGGAAATTCATTCTTGATTTTAGACTTTCGTGACTGCAGGAATCCATACTCTTTGGTTATTTCGGTAAAGTCATCACGTAGGTATAAAATGAACTAAATCACGACGTTTCGGGCGCAACACAAGCGTCCGTCATCAGGTGGGAAAGCATGATCTTCCAAAGAGTATGGGAATTCATGTTGTCCACATACATGGCACAAGAAAAAAATAGAACGAGAGCAGGCTGGAATGCCTGTGGAAGGGCGAACATGATAGTGGAAAGGCGCATGACCGATTTTCTGAAGAAAAAAGTGTTCAATCATTGCACAGAGCCAGCTACGCTCTTCCTTCCAATATGAGGAAGACACCGGAGCTCTGCCTTTTAAAATCTACATTGAAAACTCACTTCTCCGATTAGCACGATTTGTTATGTACGGTGCAAAAGAAGTTCTACATACACACAGACGTTGAAAATAAAATGGAACAAAAGCTAAAAAGTGCAAAAAGCAGCGTGGGGAAACGCATGCTAAGAATTTACACTGAGAAACAGAAAAACGTTACGCATAGTTGATGGCAGGAACCCAAATCAGAGACATCGCATTCACTGCCAAGAAAGGTAAATGGGCTTGGGCAGGACACACCACTGAACAGGATGGATGCCAGTGGACGAGGCTGGTGACAAAATGGAGCAATGAGATCGGTTGGTGCGCAGGAGAGAGATAGATGGTAGCAGCACTGAACTGTGATGGAGGATGGGGAGGCCTTCATATAGCAGTGGATAGATAATGAATGCACTATCATAGTGAATATGTGCCTACTCAACACCAATTTTTTTGTGTCACGGGTTGGGAATTCAAATCCAACTCTTTCTAGAAATCACGACAAAACCCCCCTTTAAAGTAGAAACGTTCGTTTTGGGATTGCCACGTTCCAACCCTTTCTGGCTTGGTCCTCTAGACGGTCATGTGGCCACACGTTCAGCTCCGATGGGAGTCGTGCCTTCCTGCTGTTGGTGAGCATGCATGTGTGCGTTATTCAATCTATGGAGGTGGAATCCTGTCTACTTAAGACGGGCGCCTGTCAATGTCCCAGCTATTATTTAGGATAATACAATATATTGGCTGCTGGATTTACCAGCACTTAATCTCTTTTCCAGTGAGATGGCACATTGCATTAACCCAGTAGCAGTAATCCCATCACTGATATGTAATGCTCCAATTCCTGATAAAACAACATTCTGTCGTGATAGAGTCTGTATCAATATTTGTAAAAAAATATATATAGCCTAAACCATTTGTGTGCGCCTATAGAAACCCTGATGCTAAAATCACCAGCAATGTGCTTGATCTTGTCACGTATTGGAAGCTTCAGGCAGCAGTGTACCTTGTTAGTAATTGGATGACACAGACTGCTTGCGAATACCGGGTGTCATCGGTTTGGGCTTTGGCATCACCAGAAGATAGCATGCAGTTAGAGAAATGTATTGGGGTCACCACGGTGGCTAGGAGATGTTAACTCCCTCGCCTGGTATACAGGAGGTCGTGGGTTCAATCTCCACCCTGACGCCTTCATATCGGGAGTTTGCGTGTCTCCCTCACCGTGGTAGCGTGGATTTTTCTCCGGGTACTCTAGCTTTTTCCTTCACATTTAGAATGAAACGTGCGTTTCGAGCATTTGGCTGCTATAAATGTCTACGTGATAAGCCACTTCGTTGAGCTATCATTTGTGATGGCCAGGTCGCTTCTGAGAAAAGAGCTATATAGCTCAGTGGGCCTTACCTGGTTAAAAAAAAAAAATTCGTTTAGTGTTCTTGAATCTAGTTGTGTGAGTTTTCTCCAGGTACCTGGGCTCTCCCAAAAACCAAACTCTCATCGATGGCATTGGCCACACATTCTTCAGTGAGGTTTTTTTTTTTCCACGATGAATAAAGGAAATATAATAATAGGGTTTTCCCTTTCTGGCAACAAAACAGGTGTTAAGATGTTAAAACACCAAACTGAATCCTTTTACAAGGAATCATGTCTGCATCGCTTGTGGTTAATGCAGACATGATTCCTTGTAAAAGGTTTCAGTTTGGTGTTTTAACATCTTAACACCTGTTTTGTTGCCAGAAAAAAGGGGAAAACCCTATTATCAAATCAAGGAAAGTTGTATTGCTTTCACATTATTATTGTTGAGGCCAGAATAAACCATTCGAGGGTGAGAGAGCGACACCAAGTTTCAAATCTGTTTGTATTAACCACGTGAGAACTCGAGAAACCACAATTGTCTCATTTGTAACCGCCAGTCTTCTCAGGTGTTGATGTTGACCCATTGCACGAGGTACGGCGGGCTATGAAGTGTTGACTCGAAGGGAGGTCGGAGAATAGACACGGGCACCAATTAATAACAATGACATTTTTTTTCCCGGCAAATTGTTCACTCGCCCTAAAGGCAGCGACCCTGAGGCGTGGAGCCCAACTCAGAGATCCGTTCAGTAATAGTCAGATAAAAAGAACGTTTTTTTGAGAAGGCGCTTAAAGGTGGGGGAAAAAGGGCCAGCGCTGTGAATGTGGAGGGGTATGGCGGCGTCCCTGGTGGAGGAGCTGGCAACGGAGAAACGACGCAATGGCGATCGTGGTCCCTGACTCTCGGTGTCGAGAGTAACTCCTGGGCAGAGTTGCGCAGAGTTCTGTCGGTGCTTTGGGAGCAGGGCGTCAGGAGGTCCGGCAGGTATGGAGGGCAACGGCATGCATCGTTTGCAATCAAGCAATGTATCGCCGGGATCAGAGCTCAGCGTGCTAAACCATCATCCCACATCCATCCAATATACACTTACACATACCCAACACAACGTACAAACGTATAATAATATTGATGTTGCAGGCTCGCCATTTGAACCTTGGAAAATGGCCTACACAGTTTGCGATTATGTTTTGCAAGTGGCCCAGCGGCTATTTCATCAAGGCTGACCCTCTCTGATGATTCCAGTGCCTCGCATGTTTCCAGCCGAAAGCGTTCAAAAGGCAGCCCATTTGTTTGGACACTTGGCACCATTCGACAGTCAAAGAAATGTTAAATCCATGAAGGCTTAGCTCGCCAAGAATTGCTCTTGCAGACAAACAAATATCCTGTACCGCCTACGCATCCCTGCCCAGCGCCTGTCTGGCATTTACAGATGGGCTGCAATACGATCTTATATACCCTCCCCACACTTCGAATAAGTCAATACGTGTCAAACTGTCAATCACTCAGTAGTCTTAATTTCACTACGCAATAGATAGCACCTGGGAGTCGTCCCAAGGTGCTATCTAAATGTGATATATCTGCAAACTGCTTTTGCAGACATATCATATTTTGTGATAGTAGTTGTAGGTGATTTTACAAGTGGGGCTTTGGCTATGACTTCATCCGCAATCACCTTGTACAAAGCACAGACTGTTCGTGCATACGATCACAAAATAAAAAAAGCGTTTTCTTAATATATTTAATGAAATAGTAATAACGTCGAAAGCAGAAACTGAGAGAATTTGCTAACATCGTTAAGTCCACCGAAGCCACATTGTAAAGTGAAATGTGGTGGTTGCATGTCTGTAATCCAGCAATTTCGAGGCAAGCGTTAGTGGATGATAATACAGATTTATGAAACTCCCAAATCCACTGGGCCATAAGGTTGCTTGGAGGTAGCAGCACAGCGAGAGGGTGTGTGAACCCACCTGTACGGATCTTTCAGTGTTATCCCCTTGTCCAAGTAGGGGTTTCTTCTGCAGATGCTCTGGTTTCCTCCCGCACACAAAATCCCACGTTTGACCCCACCACACACGTCCTGCCAAAATCGACTCCCTGTGGTACATACAACCATTTATACCGCTGGGTTGGACACAGGCTGGAGGGGATTTTAATAAATGTGTCCATTGTTTTAACACTCGCGCCGGGAGATAGAACCCGCGACCACTGGATTGTGCATCCAGTCTGCCTATGATTACAGCACAGAAGCATGTATGTATACATGTATATTCAACTATGGAAGACGCTCGTGAAGGACGCTACTGCTCAATTGGACGCAGTCGCCCTCCAACAACAACGGAGGGCAGAGGAGTGACGCTCACAACAACGAACGGAACGCCAGGCGGCTAAAATGCAGCAAGTTGGCACAGTAGGGGGCACAGCTGGTGTATCTTCCAGTCATCTCAGTCAATCGGGTCGTGGCTCCTGGGTCTGTCCCCGTAACCTCCTGTCAGCAGCGAGCCTTCGATACTTCACGTGGCCTCAAAGTGCACCTGGCCTGGCACAGGCGACCGTGATGACGTCACCGCCACTGAGTGGCGAATGGCGGCTGTTGTTGTTGTTGTTGAAATTTTTTCTACACCCTACATAGCCAACCGTGCTTATCGGGAGGTGCAGAGCGTGAGCATGCTGCTTACTACGAGTGATTGTTTGTTTTGTTTGTCTTGCCCAGGCCACAGAACCCGTTTCTGGAGCACAGTGTCCCGCTGTTCATCGCCTTCCGTTCAGTGGGGGACTGGTTGGATGTCATCAAGATGGGACGTTACAAGGACAACTTTGCCGTGGCAGGCTTCAACCACCTGGAGTCAGTTGCACAGATGAGTCTTGAGTGAGTAACATTGGTTTTGATCGCTGTGGCAGATGGCAGTGGCATCAAAATGTGTTTTATATATAATATGATTATGCATAAGTTAACTTCTTTTTGCTGAAATTACATTGGAGGGTTATACAGCACAACTGCGGAAAACCAACGCAGTTAAAATATGTACTTCTTCGGAAATAATCTGTCGTAGGGGTTTAGGGGTCCCCAGTGTGTTACAGTATGATAGGGCTCCACCACAATGAATTACATACAATTTATTCCGTTGAGAAATATGATCTGCAAGCTTTTAAATGCTACTATTGGGGGGGTCTTTTTTAAAGGTCAATTTATTTATTTAAATCTTGACTTAAAGCTTTCGTGACTGCAGTAATTCATGTTCTTGGTTCTTTCGATGAAGCCGCGTACACGGATCAAATAATTGAAAATAATAGTAATATTAAAAAATATCAATATCAAGACGTTTCGATCGCAACACAAGCAATCGTCATCAGGTGAGAAATAGTGCGGGAGAGCTGCTGAGAATAGCAGCTCTCCCACGATATATCTAACCTGAGGACGATTGCTTGTGTTGCTATCGAAACGTCGTTATATCGATATTATTTATTTAGTTAGTTTGAATCTTTTATTTACTTTAAGAAATGAAAATAACATATTTACACAGAAGGTTGTTGCAGAAAATGTATGTACAGTAATTGGTAAATATAACAGCCACTAGGCTGTATACATTTCAGTTTTTAAACAAAATCAATGGTTATTATTTTGGGAAACATAACTCATTTTATTTTTAGCCTGTGCTTAAATAATGCTGCTAATGCATGCCATTAAAATGTATGCAATTTATAGGTTTCTAAATAAATAAATAAACACATTTGGCAATGTTACTTTTTAAACATAATTATTATCAGCACTTTTATTCAATGGCCACGCTTCTGATGCAAAATAATTATCGTTAGTTTTGTTCAAAGCCGTATGAAAATACGACTCATCTCATCTATACCACAGATAAGAAAATTCAATGATACGAGAAGTTTCATCTTGTCGTATGCAATAAAATCCCTCCTTATCCTTAGTTGCTCACCGACAATATCAAAGACAAAGATCCCCCGTATAGCCTTAACAGACTATTAGGGCAAGATCTGTTAGCAAGTTGCACCTATGAAGGCCGGCACGCACACGAGGGGGTGGGTAGCCAACACCACGCCTGGCCGCCTTTGTCTCCCCACTGCTGATGTTTACAAACTGAACCAGGTACTGAATTTGAGACTGGGTCGAGATAGGGGAGGCCCACGACCAGTTCAGATAATCGTCACTGGTGTTGGCCGTGAGTCGGATTCGAACTCGGGTCGCTGGGTTCATAACGCAACGTTAACAGTTGCACCACCACTCCCCACACACGCACACAACATGATTATCCCAGTGGCCAATTCATCTTAGACATGAAAATTGTATTCCAGGAATACCTTCGCGTTACCGGTGTAAATAACATAGCGTCTGTCACCACATTCTTTCGACTTACCACAGATTTGCAGATTTTAAAAAAAAATGTATCTCTAGATAATAGCATCAATCACAGGGCGAGTTAAATACCATGAGCAGGAAAGGTCACCATTAAGAGAGCCCAGCCGAAGAGCAATAACAAAAACCCACAAATATGCCAATAATATTGCCTGAAGAGGAAATTTATATAAAAAGGTGACATTTTTGCACAATGGCCGTTCTTCAAAACACAGACGAGTTTCATCGTATGTGTACGTGCTATAATATACAATTATAAAAAGTACGCACTGCTGATGTACTAACATCAAATCTTCATGATGTGCTGGATAAACATCCGGAGAAAAGGGACTGCATTTTGCCACGATTAATGTTTCGCCGTGCGTGTGCGTGTTTTTCGAACAGCGACGTTATACGGATAGGCATCACGCTGGTGGGCCATCAAAAGAAGATTCTAAACAGCATCCAGATCATGAGAGCACAGATGGTGCAGATGCAGGACTCTGGAGTTCAGGTGTAAAGCGGCACTTTACCGGGACCGGCCCCCGAGCTACGCCCTGCTCTCACTGCCCCCAGAGGGCCCCAAGGCCGCCTCTTTATTATTTAAGGGAGAATTCTCCATTGCAAATGGAATAAATGGAACCGAACGGGGGTGGTGCTGGGGGGGGGGGGGGGGAGGGGGGGGTGGGGGGGAAGGGGTTGGGGGGGGAGGGGTGGGAGGAGAAAAAAGTTAAAGACAAGATTGGGGAATGATGTTGAGAACATCTGCAACCGGCAACGCACCGCACGTGTTTCTGACGTGAAGAAGGAGAAGGAGAATAAGGAGAAGTAACAATCGCGCACGGCGCGTCTGAGACGACGTTCCCCTTCGTGAGTGACGTGGTGAGCGGGGTGGGAGGCGAGGAGGGTCAACGCACGCCCTGCCGGTGGCTCGCGATTCACGGCGGCCGTGGATCGCGTCTGCGCCCGTCTGCCAGATGAAAGGTTTAACGTACACGGTTTTGCTTTGGTTTTATACTCGATATATTCACGAAGCTCTTGTGTTGTAGCAAATAATTACGATCGCATCGCAGTTTGATTCCACGCAACTAAATGCTTGTACAAATTAGGAGCAGAAGCACTGACGAATGGCAATTTTTTTGTGTTTCCAATTGTGGGATTTTTTTTTTTTTACGTATTCCTTGGTTCTCAATTATATTCGTTGTTGACAACACCGTTATGACACCTGGAGGTTGCCAATCAACGCCTTTTCATTTCACGTTTGTTGTGATAGTGCTATTTACCTAATGAGAACACAACATGATCAGAAACGTCATACCTCATTTGCAAGTCGTTGGGTTTATTTGACGTTTTACCAAATCACTGATAATCTGCACTCTCTGTTGCCCTGAAATGTGTCATTTAAATGGAAACTACAGTTGCGTGTCGTTGCAAAAGTATTCCCCGGCGCTGTACGTTCGCAACAGGGCTGTATGTTGTGAAGATAACATACGGATTGATCAGATTCATCACAGGGTAATAATTTGCAGTTCTTTGTCAATCCACTGCCGGATAAAAAGGCGCCCCATTCTGTGTCAGCCGTGGCACTGTTGTTTGACCATACTCCACTGCTATGGTCAGCGCGAGTTGGTGAAGGGAGGGAAGGCACTTTGTAGGATCGCTTCGGGAATTTCTTTCCACTTTGCGTTCGCCACGGCTGGGAATCTAGGTATCAAACTCCAGTTGAAAGAATCCCAATGGAACATCGAACTACCTTCTAATTGTATGCAAGTAGGTGCAATGTAAGAATATCATGGTGGAGGCGGTGCGACATTTTTTTGCACATCGAGCTATGAATCCCGCAACTTGAGGTTGATTCTCTTCCGCAGCCATCAGTGGCGAGTAATGTCTCCAACGGGACTGGGTGGTCCCCCTCCTTCACTAACCCTCGCTGACCAGTGTGGTGAAGTATGGTCAAATCAAGAAAAAATACATGACTGACACCATCTGGTGGATTGACACTGGCCCGTATATTATTATGCTCATATTTCACACACGGATACACAATCATTCTCTCTCATCTGCAAATTATGAATACAAATTGCTTAACTTTGCTAATCTACTGCACCCACCCACCCCTTGCGGCTAGCAAAACATACGTTTAGCAATTAAGCACCACTAACATTTTGCGAAGCAGTAAAACAAAAAAAACATTTCCATAGAAAATTTACAACGCTCCATAAAGTCCAAACATAAAACTACGTGAAAATAAAGTACTAGAAGAGCATGCTGGCAACGTCATAAATTGATAACTCCTCATATTATTATTCTTGGGAGGGAGGCAAAGGGCAATAGAATGACAGCATGCACCTTGAGATGGTATTTGCAGCTTTACTTTGAGCAAACGGTGGAGCGGTGGTTAGCGCACTTCACGACGAAACCAGCGGTCCGAATTAAATTCCTGGTCAAGGCTAACATCAGTGGTGATTAATGCCTGAACCGGTCCTGGTTCCCTCTCCAACCTTTCACCAACCTCCACAATCCGACAGTGGTGAAGTACGGTCAAACAGACCCACAACATGACCGACACACAACGTGGAGTGATAAACGGCTATAAACTACTAAACTAATTGAGCAAACAGAAGACGAACAATGTCCGGTAAAAAAAAAAAATGGGTCTTCATGAGATGTGCGTAATAAACGAAGTGACATTCAGGCCATGAGAATCGTCATAAAATCACAAATAATTAGCCAAAACTGCCTTAAGCCAGGCATTAGTGAAGACGTGAAAATTGTGCTGTCATAACCCGTTCGTGGCCATGCAAAAATAATCATTTATAAAGGGGAAATATGCCAAATGTTCCTAAGAGAGCAGCGGTTATGGTGACTGTATGTGCATTAAATAAATACTAAACTTATTAAGCTGGCATAACCAGCTTCTATAAACTACAAACAGGGTGTTCGTAATGTTGCGTGGCACCTCCCCCTTGTAAAGAGAACTCTGTGTCGGTGTTGTGAGCCTCAAACCACACCAAGGGTTTTTTTTTTTTTCCCTGTGCTGATCGACCTTCGGTAATGGTCATGGCATCCTTCACTGATCTGTATTAAAAAAAAAAAACGAATCCCGTTTTGTGTAATCATAGATATGGCACCTATCGTTATCTACGATTACACAGGCGGACTCCACAACAAGCTATAATTATTCAACACTGCTTAGCAGCGACCTCACGGTTGCCAATATCATCACCAATTATTTTTCATGCTTTTTTTTTCCTAACACTTGGTTGACGTGACTCTGTGACAAAGGCAGACTATAACGCGCAGTGCTTCGATTATGAGAGTCTCGTTTCGTTGACTGTTAGTTGGCTAGGCCGGATCTGGGTGGATTTGCACGCTGGGCCTGGACCATCAAACGTCCTTTGGGGCCGACTCAAGTCGACTCTCCTTAGCGGTGTGAATCACCGTTACGTTAGCCCCCCCCCCCCACCACCACCACTGGAGTCAGACCTGTGTGTCGATGGTGACGTTATGCTTTTGGCAAGGCGCTTAACAAACACATGAGGTTCGACAGAGTCCTTGCTGGCTGTGGCCTGGTCTAGAGTAGTGGCTCTCACCCGGGGGGGGGGGGGGGGGGGGGGGGCCCTGGTTGGGGATAACGTGGCAACGTCCCAGGGGGGCAACGTCATTGGTGAATAATCACGTATGCATCTGCCAACATAAAATTGTACGAAAAATGTTTAATCCAGGCGGTAACTTAGGACGATGTAAAAGACCTTGCTAAACTCGTTGATCGTAAACAACGTGGTTTCCCAGAGTAACCAGCGAGCGTGAACAAATCACGTCGCGCACACACAGCGCCCGTTACTTTGCTTGTATTCCTTTGCAGTCACGAGCAGGTTAGGATTATACCTCGCAAAATGGACAACTCGTTAAAATACAGATGCTCATTATTTATACATTTATCATCTCAGAGCCATGTTTGGGGGGTCAGGCAAGGCGCCGATACCGGGTTGAAACAAAATTAAACAAGGGGGATACAGGAGCCAAACAAGGTTGAGAACCACTGGTCTGGAGGGCACCAAGAGACAGGGCCTTTCGTTGGTGATGTCGACACAGGAGATGCTTATGGTGGTCCTACTACAGATGTCTCTTATTCACACGTGAAGCAAAGTCACCGACTGGTCTTTGCTCGGGATGGTACACGGCTTGCAAGTCACAGCCGTCCTATTTTGTTACAGGTCAATTTTGTGTTCGCTGACATGCGTCTCAGCATTGCTTCGGCTGTACGATTTGAGCTTTTAAAATTGTTTATATTACCTGATTGCCGTCCGGTTTCTTTGCATTTTGACGCCGATGAAGGATGGATGCATATTTGCATATTAAGAAAAGTGTCTGCTCTTCCAGTGGCTAATGTTGCATTGCCACTATTAAAAGCAATGCAAGTCAAAAATATATATATCAAATATATTTATTTTGATTTGAAAAAATAGTGCCGCATTTTTTTTTGTTTTGCCAATGGGCTCGGACATGAATTTATATACAATAGAGTTGACATCCTTTTATAATTCTGCCCATTGTGTGGAGAGTGCACTTTGAAATGAAATCGACAAATTGACCACGGCAAATTGTTTTCAGTCGAATCCCACAAAAGTAGCGAAGGCACTTTTTGTTCTTCACGATATACTTCGCCAGTTTACAAAGGAAGCTTTACGTGGCAATTCTCATTTACACTTTTATATCCATTGTATATATATATACACACACGGTATAATCACACCAAAACTTGGAACTTTTTTTTTCACAGTTGCAATGCATGTCGTCAGACCGGTGTACAATTTTGTTAATTTATTAAGGCGATTTTAGATAGTGTTGCTTATTGCTTATGGCATAACGTCTGAAGTCCAAGAGCGCCAACGCACTCTTCTTATGAGAGAGGGAGAGAGAGAGAGGAGCTAAAAGTTGTATCTTCCAATTGTGTGCGACGGGCACAAATAACATGAAAGCAACTGGAATATTGCTTTGTGAATGAGGGTGGGTCACGTAAAGGCTGATATCTCGGCTCATTATGCAATTTCAAAACAAAATGACATCTTTAGACCGGAGCCCTGGAAATGCAGGGTGATCCATTTATCTGTGCCCGACTAAAAATAGCGTATTCTTCAGATTTCAAGATGCTCACGAAAAAAACAACACACACCCCCACCCCAAACATTTTCCCCATGTCTCAATACTGTTGCCCACACGTACCAGATCAAAGAAACACGCGTACAAACCCACCAGACTACAAGATGGGACGCACCTCCAACTTTTGCTGTCAATTTTACGAGGAAAAAGCTGCATTTTATAATGAAGAGAATGCGGAAAATGTGAAAAATTGTCGACAAAACATTGCATTTCAGAGCAGCGACACGTCTGCCAACAATTTAAAAAAAACGTATTAAATATCCTCTGCCGGGAGACGGAACAAGAGCGTCAATAGACATCGGTGGGGTATCCATAAATGAGTCGCCTTGTGCATTGAAAGAACACAATTAGTAAACAGGCCATCTTACAGGCAGAGCGTAATAGTCAACATATGTTACCAGATTTAAAAAAAAAAAGTCTTCAAGAAGACGGAATTTTGCAACTTCGAATAAATCACATGAAAATATCGCAAAACGATTACTCTTTTGCAGGGTTGA